CAGTCCTTGATGAATACCAATCTGAAATCACTAAATCCCTACAAACCTCAAAATTGAATCAATCTAGAGGTCATTAGTGACCAGCTTCGAGAAGTGATTCCCAAAGTTCCAATGAGAAGTAGTGACCGGTGGGGTCAGCCAAGTTGGATATAAGGACAGTTACTCAGCGACGTCACACCATATCGTCAACCCACAGAAGTAGGAAATATGGGCCACTGGATTCCGACCCAGTAGCTCAATGGTAACGCGCTGGCCTCGGAACCTGAAGGTCCTGGGTCCGATTCCCTTCGGTGTCATAGGTGCTCACTGCTGAGGAGTTCCATGCTAAGATGAAACAGCTGCTCAGTGCTCCCAGGCCTCCAGTGTTTCTCGAACTGATGTCTGTCCATGATGAATACTAACCCGAAAAAGGATGTTCAAAATCTTGGTATCAAGTCAGTGTAACAATTTGTCTGTACTGTTATTGCCACGGCTTATTGAGTGGGTCCTTTGATAAATAATCAACCGGTGGGTCATACTTTCAATCTCTCTCTACCTACCAAATTTTGGGCAGAAGAGAAGCTTCATCAACCGTCAAACAGTATGTGTACCACACAACCTTGTATCTGAACCTATACATAGTTGGAGAATTTCAATTTGTTGTTACCTAGTTGTGCAACCGTGTTATGTGCACGACAGATTGCTGCTCAAATATCTTGTTGACAGCGTTTATGAATACTTTCTTCCTCTCTCACACACACACTTTCTCGTTGTTTTTACGGTGTTGAAATAACAGCACATGATTTACAAACTGAACTACTTTCCTGAGTGTAACTAGTGCTTTATGCTGTGGAGAGTTATAAACAATATTTGTACAATAGTTTTGCTCTTTTACTAAATTCTTTCCAGTGTTGTTTCACTTTTGTTCTTATTTGTCATTGAAATATTGCTTATTTATGCATGACTCGTCATTGATTTTTATTTTCTACATGGTCGTTGATACTCTTTACACGAGATCCAGTCTCTCTACGATTATGAGATTAAAGTCATTTGAAGAAGACTCACGAACTGGGATCACATCATTTGTAAATGTGTGGAAATGTCACTAAAATAAGTGTTATTAAAGATTTTTCCGAAGAGACATTCATTGCTTTAGTTCTGCCTCCCAGTAGTAAAAAACACGAAGACTACACGATAATCATTATTGTTTTCGGTTTTGAGCCATATCTGTTACTGTTTGAAGCCACTGAGCTGCATAATCTTTTGAACTCAATCCGTGGAATCGTCAGATGCCAACAAAATAGACGCTAACCCCACACAATTATCTTTCGTCCCACTGCACGACGTCATACACTAGCCCCCTAGACAAGCAAACAGTGGACTGTGTGAGACCCACCGGGGCGACATTCGTAACGCCTGTCCAAGCCACCTAAGCTGATTTCTTAAGGTGAACACACTTAATGAAGAAGATCTTTATCACGCCCAAGCACATACCACCACATGGTGTTTCCATCTAACGCAATCAATCCTATGGAGACAACGATGATCAAAAACACAGTCGTCGGAGATGCCACGTTTCATAGGTGCAAGGTAAATGTAACCACAGGGTTCACACCAAGATGGTGCCAAAGATGACCCAGATTGGTGTTTGTCGCTCTGGCTTTCGATATACAGTTGCAAATCTCATCAACCATGCCTTCACTAGTATTCCCACAAATACCTAAGTACACAAACTTTTCAACAACTTCCATCGATTCACCGTCAAGGGTGTGGGTAAAGGTTGCTGCCAATATTTTACAAGCACTTAACACTTCGATGGTGCGAAGCATGTTCTATACTTACGGATACTGGTCACTAACTAATGAAATGTTTGTGTGTTGTTGCACAATAAAGCAATATCGTCTGCATACTCGAGATTAAAAGGTCTCATCTGTTAACAGATCTGCACCACTATTGCGTTCTTCCTTCTTGACAGTTTCAAAAATGTCATGAATGACAAATTTAAAGATAAACTGCGAAACCGCGCAGCCCTACTTGACGCCCCTATCGGTTCTGAGCAATAATGAAAGACGGTATGCCTTCTTGCTCTACCGAAGGTGTTCAAGTATAGGGCTTTCAAAATGTTAGCAAACTTCATAGGGATACTCCTCCCTAATTGCAAATTCCAGAGCGTATCTCTGTTCTACTAATCGAAAGCAACCCTAGTGTCGAGAAATGCAATGATCATTGTCTTCCGATTCCTGTGACGGTGTTCAAACATCTACTGAGAGTTGAACATGGGATCGATGGGTCCACCACCTAAACGAAACTTGACCTGCTTCTCGCGAATCCGGATTTTTCACGGATTTCCTATGGATTTTTCACAGCCTACGGAGTATGATAGTTGTCAAAAGTACAAACGCTACCAGTAGCAGAACTTATGCCCTCATGATAATCAAATACATTATGTAGGCCCTTTATTAAGATGAGTGCAACAATAAATTCATTTCAAAGTAAGTGAACACTCAGTTTGTCATGCCTTCCCAAGCAATGTAGTCAGTTTTCTAATTACAGTCTTACCTTCATCCTTTAAAAGAAGTAGGGGAGTAATTTGTCTGGGTCGAATACCTAATGGCTCATTGGGAATCGGATCTCTGTCTGTTTGGGTGGGTGAGTGTTCAAACTGACGAGGGTCAAGAGGTTGCAAGTGGCTTCCAGAGATTCAATGTTTATTAGTGGGAAGTTCTTCACAGCCACAAGTAGCTTTACTTATCATTTTGATTTCATTTTTAAATGTAACCAATGCCCATATATACTTAGCCTTGAATCTAGCTCTATTGGGTAGTTAATTGCAATACTAGGTGCAGCCAGTTTGTGTACGTTGATCCTTTCCGAACGATGACTTTGATAACTACCAAAACGCAAGGTAAATTTAGCATACATTAAAGTTTGATCAGAGTCCAGAGAGGTGTATTAGAAAAAGCAGTAGTCCTAAATGCACTCACGTCGTTGGTAGCTGATAACAATATGATCTATTTGAGTCCAGTCTTGAGTAGTGGAGGAAGACGCCAGTTAGCACAAGAGCTGTGTCGGAAGTTGATGTTAGCTTGAAACATATTGTGATCTGCGCAGAGCTGCAGAAGACGATCCCTATTATCTGACTTGCTATCAGTAAAACCCCATTGGCCACCTTAACCATCCTGCTGACCTAGACATCGACAAATACATTTAGGTCCCCTATCAGCACTACGATATTTGTTGAACCCATTTGGTATAGAGTGGCACTGAGTTGACAGTAGAAGTTATCCTTAACTTCAATGGGAGTATAGGCAGATACAGCGAAGAGACATCGTTTTCCTTATCAACTACTTCTCACTCTAGCCTAGAAGTACACAGGTGACCATTGCTGGGGATTCAGTCTAGTACAGCTTCAGCTCTGGCTCGTAGTGTGACGTATAAGAGCTTTTCAAAAGCTTGATCAGGATTATTCCATTTTTGGCTACATCAAAGCTTTTGGTGGCCTGTTTTTTTGAATAGTTATAGTATGATTGTTCATCGGTTCATCAAACGTGCTATGCTACTTCAAAAATGAAAATTTATAAAAATGGATCTTTTTGGTGTTAGATGTTAATTAACAGACTTCGATCAGTCCTGAGCACTTCAAACTCGACAGCTATATCGGATAGCCATTTCATGTATAGGTAATTCCATAAAGTATAAACTTATTCTCCATACAGCGCTTTGTTGCCTACTGTGAGAGTTTCCTAACTGTAGTTGCCTGATTGAATTGAATAAACTGCTTGTTTCTTCGGGTTGAACTTTTTATTGCTATAAAATAGTCGCGGTTAGTGTTCTAAGATGTGTCAACTATCTGCTTTCTTGTGGTATTCAATGATCTGTATTTAGTTTTAATCAGTTCCTTTCATTATTTTCTTCCTCAACTAATTTTACTAAGAGTTGTTAAAGTAATGCATTTACCAGTTGAGATTTTTGTATTATTTCGAGTGATTCAATTGTCACTTCTCGTGATCTCGCAACAGTTAGAACTCCTCTATGAAATAGAACTCTGATTTCTGAATCCAGATTCACTCAACAGATACATTTTCACCTCCCAGTTGTTGTGTGACATGTACGTAGGGCTATGACTCAGTGGTTTAGGGAAGTGACTTTAAACCAGTGGGCCGCGGGTTCCGACCTCATTCCATCTACCGAGGTTTGAGCATTCAGGTAGTATCACTAGCCTTCAAACAATAGATATGGTTTATTGCCTACTGGTCGGACGTCCACGAGGTGGCTGAGTGCGTTTCATTTCGTGTATCTCTTGATAATTGCACCTTGTGTATCCAATTTACACTTTAAATTATGCATTGTCATTAGCATCATAAATCTTTTCAGAGATTAGCATAGTATTATTGGTCTAGAAATGGCGTTCAACCGCTGTAATAATATGTTTTGATGTAGACTACTGATGTAGGGTCCCTATTAGAGATAACTCATACGAAGTATTAATTCTGTGAATATTTTTGAAGTATTTTTTCCACGTGTGTTCTGCTTATCCTTTCTACCAATCTTAATGGCCTCGTTTTCTCTCTGGATTTTCCTTCATGTGTACAAAAACAAATTGTTCTTACACTACACCTATCTTAGTAAACTTTATTTTCTTATTAAGATTAGGATCAACTATGTCACTTCCTGTTTGTTCTCATCTTTCTTAATTTTAATCCCCTATTATGTTAATTGTTGTATTTGTCCTCCGGCTTTCCGGTTTAATATATATTTCTTCCATTTCTATTATGTCATTGTTAACTACAAAGCCATCGAAATATAACTTATTACGAGTTTTGATGAAAATAGAAAAAATTATATTAAACGTAGGATTTTGAAGTTGCTTTGTTAAATGAATACCTTTGCTGTTTGAATAGCACTGAAGAAAATTTGAAACAATCTTTACGCATTTATATATCGTGTACACCTTGTTAAAAATTCCTAATTTATTCAGTATATCACCGAGTAATGTATTATAGTTTCTTATTGTGTATTAGATCTGGGCACAGATGTATGTTCCAGTACATTACCAATTACAGTGGAAATGGACAGTTCGAATTCACACGGAAATTTACATCCCAGCCATGGTCAAGCTAGTCTTCAAGTGTTGAAACCAATGAGAAAACAACCCAGATTACGATCAGTTAGTGGAAGCCATAGCGATTCGCCAATAGGTAAACATTTGTCTAACTCGGACCAAAATTCAACAAACCAGTGTAAACATCATCCACCATCGAATTCTTCTGGTTTACTTGTCTCTCATTCACTTAATTCCTCAATGACATATACCAACACAGTCGATTCTCAAAAAGACGGCAATGGAGATAATGGTCGACGGCGTACTTTAAGTACTGGTCATGATCCTAGAGTAACAGATGTTGACGAAGACAATATGGGTAGTAAATGTCCAAGCTGTGGATATGCTGACTGGAAGCTGTTTAAAACGAAAGAACGTGAATGGATAAGTGGTGTTCATGCATTGAGTTGTTCAAAAACAGATTGTGTTTCCTGTCCAGTTGACAATTGCACATATGTTTGTTCCGGTAGAGCCGATTTATCCGCTCATTTAACAAGTATTCATTTTCCTGAAAGTAAGTTCAGCTTTATAGTTGGAAAATTGCTTTTTGAGTTGAGTTTTTCATTTGTCATAAATTATAACCATCCTAAATAGACGCGCAGAATATCATACAAAATACATTGGTTCTAGTTATTACTCAACTCCTCACTAGTTTTCTACCTAAAAGTTGTTAGCCAAAGGTTTTTATGTTAAGTTGGAACGTAAATACAGTTGAATCCCATGTACTTGCCAAAGTATGTCGGAAGGATAGAAAGATGGGCTAGTACTCGTTTTTCTGAACGTTACAAAGGACCTGTGACTGAACGGTTCGGAATTCAATCATACACCATTTAATCGATTCACGATATATATATATATATATATATATATATATATATATATATATTATAAGTCCTTTAGGTTCCTAGTGGAACATAGGGCTTCAGTAGCACGTCTCCAGTGACCTCTGTTCTCTGAGATCTTTTGAACCTGGTTCCACGACAGCCCAGAAGCTCTCATTTCCTCCTCGCACGACCTCCTCCATGTCACCCTCGGACGTCCAACTCGTCGCTTCCCATGGGGATTCCACTCGAGCATCTGGCCTGACGCGTGATGTCCTCAGTCGGCTTTCTCAGTGCATGCCCAATCCATCTCCACTTCCTGCATATTTGTTGCGTGATAGGTTCTTGGTTGGTTCATTCCCAGAGCTCCTTGTTGCTTATTCTTTTCTGGCCATCTGATCTTCAGTAGCGATCGTAAGCAATTGTTGATGAATGTCTGTAGTTTATTGGAAATCCCTTTCGTGACGCGCCAAGTCTCTGAGCCATACAGAAGCACTGACTTGACGTTGGCGTTGAAGATCCGTATCTTGCTCCGAATGCTGAGTGCAGAAGATCTTCACACTGGTTTCAGGCTGATGAACGCCTGTCTTGCTTTCCCGATTCTGACTTTGACATCCTCGTCTGTGCCGCCTGTAGTTGAAACAGTGCTTCCTAGATAGGTGAAGGAGGTTACTTCCTTGAGTTTCTCCCGTTAATGGTGATTGGAGTTTGTTGTTTGTGGTGGTGGTGCGGTATCTTCATCACTCTGTCTTCTCTATATTCACTTGAAGTCCCGTCTTCGCTGCCTCTTCTATCAACTTGTTAGTTTTTGCCTGTAGATCTTCAAGTTTGTGTGACATCAGGCACAAGTCATCACTGGCGAAATCCAAGTCTTCTAGGTTCTTTTCCGCAGTCCAGTGTATCCCCCTCTTCTCGCTGCCCACTGTTTGCTGCATGATCCAGTCCACCACAATCAGGAATATCATTGGGGATAGTAGGCAACCTTGCTTCACTCCTGTCTTCACTTCATATATATATATATATATATATATATATATATATATATATATATATATATATATATATATATATATATATATAGTCTTTAAAATAATATACCGACAAAGAACCTCTATTTTACTTCGTTTTGTAGATGAAGCGGTGTTTGAACCCTTGACCCATTGGTTGAGTCAACTCCCTAAGCCAGTGAAGCATGACTCCACTGAATATGAACCCAATTTATTGTGCATATCTTTTCCTTCTTATTTTCTTTCACTAGCGTAAATCAATATTGATACAAGGTTATGATTGAAGGTGAAATAAAAATTCAGGCCGCGGCAGGATTCATACCCATTAACCTCCGAGTTCAAGTTGCGCGGTAGTTCAAATTTTAATTTCACCTTCAATCATTATCCACTATGAATAGAAATTTGCAAAACTACAGCTATCTCAGATAGTCAAGCCGTAAAACAGTATGTTAGAATATAGTTAAAGTGAATGTTTTATTATAACTGTTTTCTGTTTTTATAAATAGGGAGTTTTTAATACAACATGACTAGTCATGGTTTTGTAAATTTTTTGAACGTATTTGTATAATGACTTGACCTCTTTACCGCCACTGTGAGAAAAGTAAGGATTTTTCAGCGTTAGGATGATATATTCGTCAAGACTTTCTTGTCTGAACATGAATTGACTTGTCAAAAATTTTCACATCATATTTAATTCAATGACAGGATTTGAGATGTTCAACTATTAGTGAAATGTCATGATATATCTTCGTCTATATCACTGCATATAGATAAATGTGGAAATCCTGGATAGAGGATATACAAAGCATGCCAGAGAATTTTTAGACGCTTAACATTCAGATCAGTCAGCGACCAACAGACATATTGATATCGACCCAATCTATGAATCAGTAAGAAATACTAAAGTTCACCTCAACAAGACCACCAGTGAGAACATGTATGGTGACGGTGTTGACAAAATTCTAGCCAGAAACAACCAATCATGCACAAGCCTAGCAAGACAAGCTGCTAAGCCACTTGTGGATGAAATCTCATAACTTACTTCTTTCTGAAGTTTGTACTACTGACGTTTCTTTACAATAATAATGAAAGCTTGAGGATTAAAACATCTAGCTCAGCAAACATAACACCAGAATGACACTTATACTTTATAAACTACATATCTTCCTGTGTACTCCGTGAGTATTTTAATTTAAAAAAACTTCGAAATAAACCCAGATGATCGATTAAATATAGATTCTTGATAAAAAAGAAACAACTGCATAAAATACATCCTAAGAAGTATCTTTCTTTTTCCATTATTGTTCACAGATGAATACAATAAAACGACATCATAATCGCCATTGAGTTTCATAATCTCTCTAAACTGTAGAAAGCATTTAACATTTCGGGATCTCAAAGATACTACGAATGTAATTTTTCTTCTAAGTCTCCTAATTGTACAGTTGGACTGATAGTACGTTAAATCTTTTGAAGATTGAGTGATAGCTTTTGATGAGAATTCATTAAAACCTCAGTTATTGAGTTTGTTGATGGTGACTATAAATAAACTTTAAATTATATAATAGTGTCAATGATTTTCCCTGAGACCATTTCCCTCTCGTCACCTGATTACACAGACGTTGACCCAATCACAGGTGAATTTTCTTTAGATCTAGAATATGCAGATGACATAGTCCTGTTAGGTGAAGACGCTGATAAGATGCAGAGTCTTCTGAACACTTTGAGTGGGAATTTGAGAATGTTTGGGATGGGTTTTCACCACCCAAATGCAAATTTTTGCTCCCGGACTGGTCTTCAGCGGTACTGCGGTTCACAATAGAGAGTGAAGTGATTGAGTGTGTTGACCACTTCACTTACGTGCGAAGTAGGATCAACCCCGGTGGATTAGTTGCCGATGAGATTTCTGCACGGATACAAAAGGCTCGATTGGCTTTTGGGAATTTGCGCCACCTATGGCGCCGCCGTGATATTCGTTTGTCTATTAAGGGTCGCGTATACTGCACAGCAGTCCGCTCTGTTCTACTGTATGGCTGTGAAACATGGCCATTGAAAGTGGAGGATACAAAAAGGCTTCAGGTGTTTGACCACCGTTGCCTTCGTAGTATAGGACGTATTCCGTGGTGTCACCATGTGAGTAATGCAGAAGTTAGGTGTAGAGTTTTGGGGAGAAGAGGTAAGTCAGTTGACGAGGTTATGAACCTTCATCGACTGAGATGGTTGGGACACGTACTACGTATGCCTAGTCCGATTGCCTCGTCACACAATGTTGGCTGAGGTGGTTCAGGCTGGAAAAAGGCCCGAGGTGGCCAGACTAAAACATGGCACCAATGTATGAAGTCTCTGACTGTTGGTTTGAGCCATGTAGGACGATGCAGACTAGGTGGTTGGGGTCCGCGGGACAAGATGAACCAGTGGTTGGAGACTGTAGGTGATGGCATTGCTCAGAACCGATGTCAGCGGCGCAGATGTATACACACATTGTCCTCATCTTAACGACGCTATACCAAATCTCACCACTTTGTCATTCCTCTTTTCTTTCTCGTACTTTATATTTCTTTTGACTGTATTCTCTTATCTTCATCCTTCACCTCCCTACCTTTCTACTTGATGAACTGATATGAGGTGTGGCAACTCGGACCGTTACGCAGTAATGCCTGGTCCTATGTTGATAATGATGATGATGATGAGACCATTCAATCAAACAATGGCTACCATGGAGTTTGATTGAATCAATGAACTTTCTTCTGGTATTTCTGAAAATGAGCTTATTTTTAGGACGTGTACTTTTTATTATGATAAACCTTTTTTAATCCTCTCATTTCCATAAATGTGAACTCAAGACTATGTATAGAATGGAGGGAATCATCATCGTTGTTCAACTGAGAAATATCTTTAACGCTCAAATTCTCCTACATCTTTTTGGATTCGTATAGAGATCTTTAGGCTTTCTAAGTGAGGGTCGATGAGACAGAGTTTAATTAATGTGAACTATAATCGATCATAGCGATGTATATATAACTTCTTTGTCTGATTGTAAGGAGTTGTTTTACACCTCTTCGATTCTTCATCTTATTTTCTTTTGACTTATTGTTTCTCTATTATTCTCACTACTATTATCCTTTTATTTCTGTTTTTCCTTTCTAATTTCTGTTCCGTGTATTGTTTGTGATCGGTGTCAACTTCATCTTGATCCTAGTATTCCTGGATATTTGTTATTATCAATACCTTTATTCATATATAGTTGAATTGTTGTTGTATTAAGCCTGTTTGTCAAAAAGTAGCCATTCAAAAAATTAACTGGACTATGATTTACATACTCGTTGATGGTTATTTTTAAGATATGAGCCCATTAACTTGAGCAGTTGACTACCAACTGATTGCATCATGAGTTTTAACCTGAGTGTATGTGCTGAAATTTAGGTGTCTAGGTATCATCATCTGCTGTGTAATTTATAGCCTAGTCGAAAATCTACACATTGTTATTATATCATAAGCCTGTCAACTTCATGTAATACTAATTTGCAAAGAAGTAACACTGTTAATTTAATATTTTACCACTAAGCACTGTGGTAAGTCTTTTGAATAGATCACCTATCCTAATAGGTTGAATCCGATTCAAAGTGTTTCTATCATAATTCAACCGTATTATCTGTTCGCCGATTAACGTATTGTCCATATCTTTTTCTTTTGATCTTACGCCTACAACTATCAAAGTTTTCCACTACCCTATTAATTCCAACACTCCTAACCGGCCAACATTCATATTAGGGTTTACGTTGATCGGCATGATGTTTTCTTAGTTGTAAACCTGGAGCTGGTGAACTGTCATTCTAGTCAATACTGATAACGTAGAAATTTCCCCCAGCTAAAAGTAATCAGTCCCAGCTATCTATTGATTCTCATGACTTTATATATTTGTTTCAGAAATGCGGCATTCATCCATGGCTCGAAATCCTGGAGATTTGGCAAGTGACGTCTGTTGTGCGATTTGACATGGAGTTTAGATGTTAGAAGTTTCAATGTGAAATTGATAGCGGGGTTTCAAGAGACTAGGGATGGTATGTTTCTGGTTTCGATTGTTAGGAATGGTCGTGAAGTGGGAGGTCGGGGAAGTTATAAGGGGATAAGGAGATTAAAGTAAGGAATTTAGGTCATAATTAGTTGGGATTTTCTATGTGACCGGAATTACTCCCAGACTGTCTACATAATGAAAGGTTACTTCTTCTTGATCTACCTGGAAAAGACGTCAGTGTAAATCTTAAGTAGAATACAAGTATTACTGGATTCATAAATATCTCTTGGTACTTAGTGCCAGCAAGGAGAGGTTTTCATATGGATTTCTGAAAAGCATTTAACATTCTCTTATGGTTCAATTTGGATACTACCACTACTTTTTTATTTATTCTTGTTTTGTTTCCTAGTTCAACATCAACTTGTTCGTCTGATTTTTGCATGCCCTCTAAAAGATTGCCAAATTATTTGTTCTGATGAAGCATCGTTTCAAGCTCATTTTATTGCACATCTTCATGGGCATCTTCCTGGTAACCTAGCTGAACTATTCAATCCATCCTCATTGACGTCACCTGTTACGATGTCTGTGACACCAATGTTGTCATCGTCGGACACAACATCGGGAATGACAACACCACCAGTGGTCGTATCGTCAACACCTGTTGTAGAGTCAATGATGGACAGTTGTAGTGAAACATCACAGCCCTCATCAAACATTTCATATGGACAACCATCTCATTTTGTTACTGGTTACACTGCATATTTATCGATGGTTAATCAGGACGAAGCTTTATCTACATCTTCAGCAAGTGAAAAGTATCATATAACACTGATGGATATTCAACCTGGTTTAGTAACTGAGAGCAATAGTATATCGAATACTTCCGGAAAACCAACTAGTTCAAACAGTATTCATTCTCATTCAAAGATAACAGTAGCCGCAGCAGCAGATCTAATCCCTGCGATTCCTATGACTTCGCTTGACAGCAGTGATTCTATGACCCTCAGTGAAAATCACCATCAATCTTCACTTTCTGTCTCCAGCCATTATGCTCATGACCATCATCAAGAACAGTTCACTGAGTTGCCGAATTCCCCATCACTATTCACGAATGATGACTCAATAGCCACACTACCTGTCTTTTTTAAATCAAATTGTGATCCTGTGGATACTGTGTCGAATAACTTTTCAAATGTGTCGAATAGCGAGACAGGTAGGTCATTGTATATCGTGCTGTTTTATTTTCAATGATTCATATTTTACTTACTGCACATTTAATCTGAAGAAAGTTTTTTACCAGTAGTGCAGCAACTTTACTATCAACTACTAAACTACTTGTACTGTAGTTTACTTGGTGGTAGCTAGTAGTGGAATCCAGGACGTACGTCTTGTCTTACTCCACTCCTTTTGTTCTGGGTACCCGAGCAGTGTCATGAACCTTCTTAAACTACGTGTAGCTCATAGCCTGGTACACATACGTGTGAGTTGGTTGGGCTGTATTACTTATTGTTTTTCAAGTGAGTGCATAGATTCGAATTGAAATCTGCTTTTTTACATTGAATAACCGTAACTTTTACCTTACACAGTGATTTCGTCGTTGAACAGTTGAAGAAAGTCGAAAGAGAAACGTGAGTCTAGATTCTCGGTTTATTCACACTCAATATTTGTTGTTGTTTTTTTTAATTTTCACGACAATGAATGCAAAAAAATTTCCAAAAAGAAACTTAATAAAATAAACATTGTGGAGCTATGGATTATTTCTTGAAGTCTTCAATTACTAACTGTGTTGTTACAGAGAGTTGAATTCCTCTTCGAGTGTTGTAGTTCATGTCATCGAGTAGCCTTGTAAAATTATACGCATTAGAAATATAGTTCATGGCTTAGTATACAAACTTGTACTAGTTTACTGAAACTGTATTCACTTCAAATATCACCTTTGGCAGCGCATAACTTGTGTTGAGTGTTTTCTGTCAGTTTTCTGACTTATCATCCAACTTTTCTCACGTGTTACAGAAATTGTCAGATGAATCATACTCAAATAGTAAGTGACAATTAATAATAATCTGTTGTGTACCGGTGCACATAAATGAGTAAAAATAGTTCAAGGTGACTGTCTACTTAGCTCTAAGATGCAAAATCATCACTTACTGAAGGTTGTTTTAGGGTTCTTTTCAGTGAATTTAGTAATTTTGAGCATTCAATAATTTATATTATGGGGAGTATGTCAAATCGAAATCCACTCAGCAACCTTATACACGTATGTCCGTCCAGTAGGCAATGAGCTATACCTGTTGTGTGTGAGGGTTAATGTTACTATCTACCTGCTCAAATATTGGCAGATAGAGCGGTTTTCAAACCTATGACCCGCTGGTTAAAATTCAACTGACAAACCAATGAGCCATAACTCCACACAGAGTATATCATGCATAAGTTAGATAATATATAAGGGTATTGTAGAAATCGACTTTATAATGAATCATTTTTAAAGGATTTGGGTGGGCTAAGTCACAAAGCTTCAGGTGAGTGAATAGAATTTACACCCAAATGTAGGAAAGATTTTCCCAACATGCATGAGTTACTCATCAGTGAGTCAGGTAGCCTATATCTAGTTCTCGGTGCTTAGCACTCATCTAAGTGCATTGATCAAGTTTTGCAATTTATCTATTAAGCGAAGTGACATGACACTGTAGTGTTTTTTGGTGTTATATAGTGGGAATCAATCAGCAGAAAGCTCTAGCTTTCGTGGTTGATGGCACTCGTCAGTAATGTGTATCTGAAACCATGATGAAACTGGTGTTGCCTCAACTATATGAACCAGCATTACTCAGTGCTAAAATCGGAGACATCAATATTATAGATGTTTTTATTCAGATGTGGCTGTCGTTGTATGTAGTATAAGGAATGTATGATGCCCTAAACAGACAAGGCTACTATAGTTAACTTTTCTAGGGATTCAATCTGGAATCAGTGGTTCGTGAGTTTGAACCTTTTCCCTCCTACCCTGGTTCCCACAGCATAGCATTAACGCTTACACAAAAAGCTCAGTCTTTTGCCAAGTGTATGAACCTGCTCATGTTTACTGATTTGAATGCGTATATAAATCGACGTTAAATCTCTCACATAAGTAAAACAGTCCCAGTTTGTACTATGATGGATTTGTAGTTCAATATTTGGAGAACTGCAACTAAATAGCCTACAATTCTCTATACAACTCACACCAGCAGTCAGTAACTTAATGGATTAGCGCCAAGCCTTAGTCTGGCTTTTCTTTGTTTGCTTCAAATAACAATGATACGGTATGCGTAATGCATATCCAGCTACTTAGTTTGATGACAGTTCACTACTTCAAAGTCTTACCTATCAATCGCCTTTCCCTAAAATCTTCACCTAATGTCAACATGATCCACTTTGTATCCTCCACACGCCGAAACATTTAACGAAACACATACGATCAGACAACCTCTAACCTCTTCATCATGTTACGGTGGTATCCTGGAGCCCTGAAAGAAAAGAAACAGGCCATTGTTCTTTGAAAGGCAATGTAGCATGTCACCTGCTGAATCCCGCCTTTCGTACATGGTGATATTAGAAGGGAAGTATTTAGTGACTTTGAGTATCTGTGGCGGATGACTTGAATAATTTCATGTTCTCACTATTATCACAAACCAATTTATATTTAGGGATAGTTTTTAACATAAGATAATTGGAATCTTAGTGAGAATTAGTGATTTTGTAGAAGGTACATCATTTTCAGGAGGAACTATATGTTCTATTGTTGCCGTAACTGGGTATAGATTTTTGACTTAGAATAATGTCTTTTAACGGATGTATAGAAACTGAAAACTAAAAATTTTGTCTTAAATGGTGATCCATATCACTCACCTCTGGATAAAAGTTACGGTGAAGATATAAAACTGCACTGGGACTAAATTATATGCATGTGATAGGTGCCCGGTAATATGCTAATCGTCAATAGTATTAAAATAGTACGGAGTATGTATTAGCCAGTGGACTATACGAGTTTTATGTCTAGTTAGGTGAATATTTGACTGGAATGACTAAATTAATATTTACTGTGCTGACTTAGGTAATTACTGACTTACTATACCCAAAATGTAATTTTTCCTCAAAGCTCAACTGGATGACTGTTGGAATACAGAACTGGTGACCATTTGACTGGCTCTATCTATATTCAGATAATGATTGCGATAAATAGCTGGAACCTATTTATTCGACAGTGGATAGTCAATGAAGAAGAAAGCAACGATGATTGCCACGCAGCTTATGTAGCGTTGCTAATCTGTTTACAGTTGTGCTTCTGTTCAGTACAGTGATATAATTCCCAATCATTCGGCTTAGCAGTCTCATAGAACTCCTTCCTTGTTAAATATGGATTAGTGCTGATACTACTTGCTGTCCTATAGTCATCTGGTTGACTTAGAGTATGCGGACGATATTGTCCTGCTAAGTTTAGTCACTGACGCAATGCAGGGTTTTCTGAAGTCGTTAAGAAGAAATCTGAGTATTTTTGGCATACGTTTCACACCTGTCAAACGTAAGATGATGCTTCAGGACTGGTTTGCTGCAAGTACTCCAAGTTTAATGATGAAGAGTGAAGTGGTGAAATATGTCGACCACTTCAATTACTTGGGGAGCTGTATCAGCCCGAACGGACAGGTTGCTGACACAGTCTCAGTTCGGATACAGGAAGTCCGTTTGGCACTTACCAACTTGGATCATTTCTGCCACCGACCGGCGGGATATCCAACTATCTATGAAAGGACGACTATATTGATCTGCATTTTGTTCTATCCTGTTATACGACTGTGAGACATGGTCATCGAAACTAGAAGATATGAAGCGGTTACAGGGTTTTGATCACATTGCATCTGGTGGAATCACTGTGTGAGGAATGTTCAAGTCAGACGAAGGATACTAGGCGAGACAAGCAAGTCGATTGAAGAGTTCATGAACCTTAGTCGACTGAGATGGCTTGCACATGTAGTACATATGCCGAGCCAACCACTACCTACCTGAAATTAGAATACTTGGGTAGGGTGAATTAGGTTAGAAGAGGGTTGAGGGTAGTGAAATGAAGACGTGGTGACATGAGTGCGTCACCATGTCACCCTCACCCTCGGACGTCCAACTCGTCGCTTCCCATGGGGATTCCACTCGAGCATCTGGCCTGACGCGTGATGTCCTCAGTCGGCTTTCTCAGTGCATGCCCAATCCATCTCCACTTCCTCCTGCATATTTGTTGCGTGATAGGTTCTTGGTTGGTTCGTTCCCACAGTTCCTTGTTGCTTATTCTTGCTTATTCTGGCCATCTGATCTTCAGTAGCGAGCCAGCGTAAGCAGTTGTTGATGAATGTCTGTAGTTTATTGGAAATTCCTTTCGTGACGCGCCAAGTCTCTGAGTCATACAGAAGCACTGACTTGACGTTGGTGTTGAGAATCCGGATCTTGTTCCGCATGATTTTGTCAGTTAGTCAATCAATATCCTATCACATTTTTCAATACCATATTTAATGATTATTGTTGGTCATTTGGAAGAGATTTGAGATTGGTCCCTCTTACAGTAAATGAGTATTTGAATGTCTTTTCATCTAGCCTATAGTGTTTATCACATACATGGAGGCCATTTGTTAGGATATGGCTCATTAGTCTTAGCTCTTGTCTTTCAATTAGTGAGCTTTGGTAATTCGTACATATCCTGCTTCACTTTGGTTTGGACGACCGACTAATATCGCATACACCGATTGTGTTATGTGTCTAACAGCTTAGTATACAATAATGTATACCAGGTGGATTAGTTGCATTTCATTTCACTACACTTTTATTCGAATCAAAGCTAGTAAACATAAAATAATTTCATATAGGCATCAAATATTCTTAATTGACAGATAGTCTAATTTAACCTTGTTGTCTAATATGACAATTTGGTATGTGTACACATGTGGCGTCGGTTTATAACAAAAATGAAGTAGGGAAAAAAAGAAGGCATAACTGAATATTTTATAAATCATCATTTATAATCTGATGATAATATGTTGACAGTTGAACTAATTTACTATATGTGAATTATTTAGACCAGCCTATCTGATAGTCATTATTTTGTCAACTTGTTCACAACTACACTGTAGATTATGTATATAAACTGAAATTTGGACGTTCATTTCAGTGCATTCAATGGGAATAACTTGGTAGTATACTGTTTAAACAGATATTGAAGTATTTCTGTGTATTTTTAGCCTACAACTTTGTTGATTCCTTATTTATCAGATTAACATATACTGCTACTATTTAAAGCAACTGGTCCCTTTAATAAATTTAAACAGAGTAATGAGAAGATGAAGATTATCTTAAACATGTTGTGATGTATTAGCGCTATACATTTCGAACAATATGATCACACATGAACTTGTCGAACTGTTTATGTGAAAATTTACGAAAAAGGTCAATGAAGTTAATAGGAAATATAGGAATAGGAAGGGATAGAAAAAAAAGAGAGGAAAACCTTACTTTTGGTATGAAAATTAAAATCAATACTACCAAGGTAGGTTCAACATGAGTACGAATTATTTTTGTATACATAAAGGGGGTTTAAATTTACGGATGGCAAGAGCTTCAATGAATTTAAGCACTCGGCTCTGACCACTTTTGTGTAGTACTTTAAAGGCTGTTTTCATGTCTATCCTATGGTTAGTATCTAGTATATGTTTATCGATAGACGAAGATGGATGTTTGTCACCTGCGCTTATTGGATCTGTTGAGGTCATTTGTTTTTGTAGCCACTTAGGTACATGTTGCTATTATTATTATTATTATTATTATTACTATTATTATTATTTACTATTATTATTATTATTATTATTATTATTATTATTATTATTATTATTATTAGACCCGATGGCTCAATGGTAACGCGCTGGCCGCGGAACCTGAAGGTCGCGGGTTCGATCCCTGCTGGTGGGGTCGTGGGTGCGCACTGCTGAGGAGTCCCATACTAGGACGAAACCGCTGTCCAGTGCTCCCAGGTTTCCTTTGTTCCTCCAACTGATGTCAGTCTTCGATGAATAACAACTTGAAATATTATTATTGTTATTATTATTTGTTACCACTTTCCTTTTGCTTAAACATCACATCATTTATATTTTCTAGTCTACTATACTACTGATGGTTTAATGAATCTAGATTCCTCCCCCCTAAAGACCATAGTTTGTCTGTACACGTCAAATAATCGTCTGTTTCATTTACGTCATATTTCTTCCTTTTTTTTCCTCTCTTACTATGTCGATTTTATTGGTTATCAGTTTTCTTCTCTTCCCTGTTTTATTTTCTCTCTTTCACATCATACCATTTCTAGTTTTATGCGATCGATCAGTATTTTTCATTATCATTATTTTTTTTTCAAAGTTGTCTTTTTCTATAGCAGTTCGATATCAACCATAATTAGAAATAAAGAACATTAAGTGGTATTTTTGTCTGATTCTGCTACTTCCTAATACTGTAGACTAGTGGCATTTGTTGAAATGAAAACCAGAAGTTTCATTTTCCAAACAAACTCAAGTAACTCAGCTATTTATCAGATATAGGCGCATTACTACCTTAACAGGTTTTGTGTTGATTTGGTTATCATTTTCATCTTGAATTACAGTTATTCATAAGTCACTTAATGAGGACTGTGACTCTGTATTTTGATTGGTCACGGAAGTGCAACCAATTTCATATTGTCTAGTCTTGAAGGCAGACCGAATCCTATCGATCATATTTGCAATGTGGCCATCAAGCTAGGAGGCTCAGCATCACGGTGCACATTAGTAGATGTTAGTTGGTTAGAGGTAATCGGCAGAAATCCCTGGACCTAGGTTTCGTGCTTGTTGACACTCGTCAGCGAGGTGTATCTGCAACCTCGATGGAACTGATGTCCCTTATGAGATTCGAACCCGCATCACCCAGTGTTGTAGTCAACGACTTTACCACTGAGCTATTCGGGACGTGATTCATCTCCTGTAGGACTGGGTCGTATGTATTGATTGGTCACAGGAGTGCACCCAATTTCATGTTGTCTAGTCCTAAGTGCAGTTTCGTCAAGATTGCAGATACGCCTTGCTGACGATTACCAACAAGCACGAAACCTAGGTTCAGGGCTTCCTGCCGATCGCATTCAACCAACTAACATCTACAGACTGTGACTCTGTTTCAGGATACTATTGAATGAAATTGTGTACACTAGGTTCAGAAAACTACAATTCTGACAACGATTTATAACTTTTTTGATTATTTACAACTTCGGAAATGTTAACTTTCATCAGTTACTTTGTTTTAATCCTACCTAAGAGTATTCAAATATTTTGCATAGGATTATTATATGCCTTCCTACAGAGTTTATTTAAGCAGGTACTCTTCTACGTGAAAAGTCCAAGGAAACTGCATTTTCGACGAGCTTATTTATGTTAATCCATACTCATTTTCTTTTCCTTTTTAAGCACAATAAATTCTGTGAAGCTATGATTTACCAACTTGTTTTAATCGAATTTTCACTAGATTTTGTAAACCTGATCTACTCATCGAGTAGTAATATCGGTCTTTATACACTGAATATTACTAGCAAGCTATGCATGAACTTCTACATGGTTGATAGTTTCCTTAGATTTGGTGGAATCACTGTGTGAAGAATGTTCAAGTCAAGCGAAGGATACTAGGCGAGACAAGCAAGTCGATTGAAGAGTTCATGAACCTTAGTCGACTGAGATGGCTTGCACATGTAGTACATATGCCGAGCCAACCACTTCCTACCTGAACTTAGAATACTTGAGTAGGGTGAATTAGGTTAGAAGAGGGTTGAGAGTGGTGAAATGAAGACGTGGTGACATGAGTGCATGAAATTTTTGACTGTTGGTCTGAGTTGTGTGAGAGGAGATGTAGAGTGTGTGTGACTGTGGGTGGTGTAGACGATGGGAATGAGTGTTTGAGGAGTGTTGATGACTGACGTGTCTGGAAGTCTGTGACGATGGTGCAGATGTATTTCACTCCTTTAAATTTTCTAGATTTTGGTAATTTTCACTAACGTTTATTGTCTCAGACTACTTTATGTTCTTTGATATGAGTTTTTTTTTCTATTCCCACCTGTTCTTTGTGTATTGCTGTGATGAAGTGTGGCAACTTGAGGCGATACACTTGTTTGCGAGATTCCACGATGATTTTTCCCGTGTGTCTGATAATTTGCAATAATACTTGTTATTGTAATCAGTATTAAGATATGTAATGTATAGTTCATTTTGTTAATGCTGTTTTAGGTTTAGGATTAACATTCAGGATACTTACTTCATCTTATAGAGAATTCTTTAACTCAACAATATTCACATTTTAGTGAGTGCTGATTTTCCCTCTCAAAACTCTAACCTACTAGTCACCTCTTCAAATGCCTCCAGTGTTTTTAAATGGACTACTGAATTACGATGGTAAAATAAGTATGACACGCAGTTTCCCTGCTGTTATATTGCTGATGTTTGAAATGACAAACACTGTATTCAAGCCTCAGTGAAATTTCCTTCCAAAAGGCTGCAGGTTGCGAAGAACTGTGCTTTTTCTTAACAACTCCCAGTAACTAGTACATGAATTTTCCGGTAATTATTGTTTAGATAAATATTAGATTAGTTGTTACTCACAAAACTGGTCTCTTATATGTTATATCCCTAGATTTAAGTACTGATTTTTATATTCTAGATATATTTCTTTGATCAGCACAATGAAGTTTTTTGTTCCCAGCTATACTTCACATCCATAGGATTGATCACTGCAGAGCAACCAATCTCATATTATCTGGTCCTGAATACTGACCGAATTCTATCGATCATTTTGTAGTGTGATCACTAAACTAGAAGGTTTATCATTGGAGTTCTCTTCGATGAATTGATGACGTAGGTTTGAATCTTGCATAGGACCTCATTTCGCTCAAGGTTGGAGATACACACCTTACTGATGAGTACCAGCAAGCACGAAACTCAGGTTCAGGGCTTCCTACCGATTGCGTTCAACCAACTAACATACTTTATATCATCTATATGTTCTTGAATCTCATTACCGACCACGATGGTTTTTTTACTTTTGTATAAGCGTCTAGACTTAACAGGTTTGATCACTTATATGTTGTTAATATTATATTTTCATATTCACAATGGTTTAAAACATTCTGAAAGTTTATACCCTCCTTGTGTCATATGTAACACTTTTGTTAAGAGCTTTTTTTCTAGATGATCATTGTTCAATTAGTCTTTCTTTCAAAATCGTTGTTATTTTGTACGTAGATGTTAGGAAATGTGGAAATTCAATAATTCATATCTTTACGCTTTCTATAAACTTGCTACTCTTATCTTTCTTTTTATTAGATCATGTGGATCTGACAGATAATCGTAATTTGTTATCAGCACTTGATCTGATACCTGATGATATATTGATTGAACTGCTTAAAGAAGACAGAGCAAGTCTGTGGGGTGAACCTGTTACCAATAATAATAATAATACCAACAGTGGTGGAAGTCTTGGTGCCGTAAACTCAGCCTTATCAGCTCCATATAATTGCTATCCTGAGTATTCATGTGTAGTGAATACAGATAATCCACCGGTGAAAACTACCATATCTAACGATTCAGTCAATTTAAACTATGATCCCTGTGATAAATCAAGTGTTCATGATTCCGTTGAATGGATTGATTTTGATTTGACTGGTTCTGTTTCCCCGTTGAATGAATCATCAGTATCCTATGAAAATCTTCATAAGGAGGATAGTTCAAATTTGTTATCGGATGATTCAAGCAGTTGGATTCCATCAAATCTTGTCCATCATACATGGTCGTCTGCTATTGCAAATGAAAAAGTGTCTAACTCCACGGCTGATTATGATGATGATGATGACAATTGCAGTAATGCTAGTTCACGTTATTTTATTGGACGTCATTTCAACTGTCCTCATCGTGTCATCTCTGATCTTACTGCTGCACTTATTCTACCAGATGTTGAACGCCGTTTAAAAGCTACCATTTCAGCAACGCGAACTAAAAAATTCAATTTACCATCTACATCAACGGTTTGTTCATCTGTTAGTTCACAAGCATCATCTCGAAATACTTTTCGTACAACATATCAATCCTGTTGTTCTGGTAAACGTAGACGTAATGCTTCTGAATCACCTCCTTTATCTACCTATGAGACAACGGTAGCAAGTATTGATGTGAAACCTAGCTTAAAAATTGATTCACATCAATCACTAGATTGTTGGAAATGGAATATGGACGATAATGGAGTTATTTCACCTGATACAGTAAAAGCAAGTTGTTTCTTTTGTATATAATTTGTACATTATCTTTAATGTCTAATTGGATGATAATGAAGCTTTCGATATTCATCCTTGGAAACTAAAATACTCTGTGAACTTTAAACTCTCTCTCTCTCTCTCTCTGATCAAAAAACTCAGCAGAATAATATTATATCATTTTATTTATGACGTTTCTAATCACTTGTTTACTATCTCAATTTCAATATCAAGTATGAAGAAAAGAGTGGAAATGTGGCTCCATTGGTTTACGGGAGTTAGGTTCCAATCAGTGGGTCATGGGGTCGAGCCCTGCTCCATCTACTAAGGTTTGGACAACCAGATAGTATCATTAACCCTCACACAGTAGGTCTGGATCATTTCTTACTGCACGAATATGCACAATGTTGCTGAGCGCATTTTGTTACGGAAAAGATTTACGCAATTTAGTCGAATTTATAGCATTGGTTGACAGAGGCGATACAAAGACTTACATAATGTTATCAGACTCAGTGAATTTGAATAAAAAGAGTTGGGAGAGTCACTGAAAATTTTATTTGCTTGTAGAATGCATGGGTGAATATTCTAGGGACAGAAACGTCCTAGTGGTGGTAAAACTGCCTCAGATCACGTGAGTAGAAATCAAAAAAAATATGTGAATGAAGGTATAGCGAAGTGATGTTTTATTCTTAGTTCGTCATACCTTCTTGGACATTCTAGTCAGCTGTCGGACTAGGATCTTACTTTTACTATTGGTAAATGTTTGAGTTAGGTGTTTTTTGGTTTTTAATCTCTTTTTTTGGGAGGGGGGGTTTGTAAACGGTCTATAAATTACAAGACATTGACATCAATGTTGTCCTTCGAAATGTTTTGTTTATGATAGACTACCTCACGTGACTTTCCTCTAGTGATGGCCTGGATGAGTTAGAATAAATTCTGGACATTGTAGGCAACAGCTATCACTTCTTTCTCTGTTTCGCCGTGTGACTACCAAGCCACATGTTAATTGGACTAGTGTCGTCTAGTTTTTATATGAGAAACTTGTAGTCACTATGCTCTGACATTGGTAGATAGACATGAAGAAATTGAAATGAGTTTTCCATGGCTTTCGGTTGCCATGACGCCTTTCGTTGAAACCACAACACATGACCTACTCATTCAAATACGGGACTAGTGAGCGTAGTGTAACTTCTTCTGTGACCATGTGTTGTAAAATTGTTAATAGCAAGGCTCAACATCGATGTCACAGAAGCCCTGGATACATTCATCCGAAGGATAATCTTCGAGCTAACAGATAAAAGCTTCATAAAATTTGATAAAAAAAATCAGTAGCAAGGATTTTTAGATCCCAACTGAACCTATCTGCTGTTCTATCTACACCCAGGTGTGGACGATGAAGATGACACAACTTTCAGAATAGCCAAGTCAGGTTTATCATTGAATGAGAACTTTATAAGAGAAACTGTTTTAGAGTTAAGTGAGTGATAATTGATTACATGAAGTATAAGTGCGTAATAAAAAGATATCTTGTGTGTATGTTAGATTTAATTTATTCTAGGCATATTGTATAAACTTACAAACGTTTCATTGTATAATGATTTGTTTGAAAGTTGTTTACGCGACTAGGCTAAGATAGACTCGTTAACACTTTCCAAACATCCAGTAATTTTTTCTTAGGGAATCAATCAATCTTTCTCGTTCACTTATGTGGTGAAATCTATTAGTAAATGGTGTAAAGAATCTTGGTTGTATTGTGTTCTCTGAGCTGGGTTGTTTAATCATGAAGCTTTTATCGCCTTGCTAGACGACATCATCAGCACTAACTTCAGTATGAAGTGAGCTGTCAATATCTCTCCGTGAGTGATTTAGTAGCTTGCTCTGACGATGTGGTCTGTGATTGGTTGTTTCCTTTGATTGTTGTGTCATTGATAATATAGATTTTCCTGTTGGCTGTCCCTCTGCTTCACCTCTCACCTTTTTGTCGTTTATCATTTTTCTTATTGGTTGATAGATCGGGTCTATGTCTATACATCTATTGATTGCTGATTGACTGATCTGAATGCCAAGCTTCTAAGAATTCTCTGATATTTTTTGTGTTTCCTCTGTCCAAAATTTCTACATTGTCTAGATTGAATTCATGTCCATCGTTGTTATCCACATGCATTGAAATGAGTAATGAAATGTCGTGGCGTTTAATAGCCAATTGGTGCTCATGTAGACGAAGGCGAAGAAGGCGACCACTTTGTCCAATGTAGTGTTGACTACAGTTATTGCAGTTGATTTTGTAAATGATATTCGGTTTATCTTCCTTGGTTGTTGCATCCTTTGGTCTGCATAATAGTGTTTGGAAGGAATTTGTTGGTTTATGAGCCACAGCAAGTGGTCTCAGCAATGTTGTTGTGATTTCTGATATATTCTTTATGTATGGTAGGACTATGGGTCTATTGATCTCTGTCGATGACTTTGTAGTTGGTGATGCACGGGGTAGGTATCTTCTGATAAAGTTTCGTGGGTAACGGTTCTTCTATAGGATGGATATCAAGTAATTTTCTTCGTTTTTCCATGAAGTTGTTGTACCACAGTGCAGTGTGTTTTCGCTCTTTTGAATAGAGTCTGCACACAACTGATTTTGTGTGTCGTTGGGTTGTTGCTATTGTAGTTGAGGATTTGGTCAGTGTGTGTTGGCTTCCTGTACACTTTCCAGCTTTCTGGCATTTGTTCAACTGACTAAAACATCCAGAAATGGTAGTTGGCTTTTTGACTCCTTCTCCATTGTGAATTTAATGTCATTGAAAACGTTGTTGCTCAAACTGTGGGTGTTTTCTGTATCATCGTTCTTAATGATGACAAGTGTCGTCCACATAGAGAATCCAAATTTTTGGTTTAATCACAGGTAGAATAATGGCTTTCAGTCTCTGCATCACTGCTTTTGCTATTCTCCATTATTTCAAAATCATACGGGTGTAAAGAATATTCAACTTGTCGTATCATTCTATGGCATACTTTATGCACCACCAGCTTCGACTGTTTTATATTACAGAAACAACTACCTATAGTTTTTACTGAGTGAAAAAGTTGCTGACATTTTAAGATTTTAGTGAAAAGTTGTAAAACTATGGGAAGTGCTAGTGTGGATATTTTTTTTAATGCCATGTTGTCAATTAGGACAATTTAGGGTTTTGTTTATTCTAACTTCTCAATCTATCTTAAGGTCATCTATAACTCCACCTTTTTATTACTACTATAATCAATAATACCTTAGGTGGTAAAACGAATAATACACAATTTTTAAACGACTAGTTCGTTACTGAACCTCGTCTTTCAACTGCTTATTGGATTGGGGTTTTTTTTTCTGTTGTATGTTTATATTCTTATGAATACTAGCGATTTATGATCTACGATGCAGTTAGTTGTACATTTAGGTTTTATAAAAGATTAAAATTTTGACTATTGTTTTTTGGTGCAAGTGAACCACTTAGAGAAGAGTTCATTACATAATATATCTTGATTGTATTTACCTCAGAAAACGTGTAAGTTACTCATCATGAAAACATGCTTCCTGAACTTGACAGGTAGATAGAATCAACGTAAAACTTTGCACACAAGTGCCTCTTTTCAACTTACCACACTCTACTGTAGTATACAAAGAACAGGTGCGTAGAAAAAGGGTAATCTGAAAGTAGACCAAGTTTTATAAGAGAATAAGCAATTCGAAGATAAAGGTTAATGTGAATAGGTAAATTATATATTATAGTGAATAGTCAAGCAATATCGGGGCATTCACATAGAAGCCCATCTGCCAACAAATGCTGAGCAATTCTATTCATCATAAAAACAAATTCTATTTTCCGTCTGAGTTATGTTCACCATTATATGGGTTTATCTGACCGCTTGATCTAAACCCATGTAAAGTAGTATGCAGCTGCCTGACTGGGAGTAACAGGATTTCTTTTGGGTTTTTTCTGTTATAACCCCGTCGCTACTTTTTTTATATTCTCTTATAGTGACTACTTAATAATAACCTCAGTTGTGTATAGTTGAACCCTTCTACAATAACCTTGAGATTTCACTCCTTGATGGTTACTCAGTGTCTTAATAAATCGAAAAAGTGGTAAGATAACAGAACGTATATTACAACGTGAGAAGTACATGCCAAATGCAGGGGTTATTTCTAGACCTTTCTAGATTCGAATGTCTTATTGATTTTCATCTCCTTAACCAATCTGATATTTATACATTGATTCATGTGCTTTCTGTCGAAACTTCTATGCAATATGATTGGTTGTAGAAAGCTTCAGGGATTTAGGGCTTTTTATAAAGATTATGGCAATCTTATTTCACACTGTAATATTATTATCCTTATTTTTGTTTAATTTACTGGTTTGAAGTGTAGTATCGTAGATTATGTTGTAGTTGTTTCAGGTTCTACATTGTTTAAATCTGCTTTCTCTACCTCTCTTAAGTGTTATGACTGAAGAAGGTATTGATACTTGCTACTGATGATTCCGTTGAATCATATATGACTCTGAATAAGTGTATGACTTCACTATGTAGGTATTCATGAATATCTTGAGATTCTGGAGGTCAGAACAGAATGATCTAAACACTGGACAGTTGTTCCCAGTAGTTTACGTCTGAGTTCATCAACAGTGTCTTCAAACCAATTGAAATCCTGAAAGTAAAGATGGATAGTAGCTAGCAGTGGAATCTGGGACATGCGTTTCATCCTGTTCAAGACTTGTCAGCTAGATGTACTTGGTTCCAAGTGAGTGATGCTGTTTCCACTTAGACTTGAATCTAGGACCAATTGCTTCAAATACCAGTTCGATATCCACTAGACCATCAAGTCACGATAGCCATTATTAATATATCATCCCAATGAAGTTTTATTTGAGAAGGCAATTTTTTTCTCAGAAAATTGAAGTTAAGTATTACTACTCTTCTATTGATTACATATGTGTTTTAAGATTATTATTTATATATTGACATGCTAATTCTTCGTTAAAAATTTTACTAATACACTCTTACAGTGTCTACATGATTTGAAAACAGCATCATCAATTAACAGAGAAGATTCAAACAACAATTCAAAGATGAATAATATTCATTCAAATGAACAAGAGGCTTTTAAGCCGAATTTAATTGATAAATATAATGGAAACTTCAATCATATCAAGATCAATGGTATACAGAAGCCAGAAGAACATGGGAAACAACATCAACAACAAACATTAGTTAAATCCAATGATAAGATCTCTTTATTTTCGACTACATATCACTTGCATGAGCCTAGAAAACGCTTAAAAAAGAATCAGAAAGCTTCTACGTTAGCTCATCAAGCCTACTTCACTCCATATTCAATAGACAAGTATATTATACCTAGACCAGTTTTACCTAGACGTCATTCAATGGCTACATATAATTTTATTCGTTCCGATTGTTATTCGCATTTACCTCATTCATGATTTCTTTGTGTTATTATTATTATTATTTTCTCCCTGAAGGTTTATCAATACCTCTTATTCGAACTCATATCTTCGTTTAATTTCAAGCTTATTTATTCCTTTTTTTTTGTTTGTTTGTTTGTTTGTTTTTTCAACAAAATGGCAAATTATTTAATATACAATGATTTCGTTCCGTACTTTTTTTTTCCATCACCATATTGATTTTCATATCATTGAAACACATTACTACTTTATGATCACAAGTATTGTATACCACCATATGTATGTGCGTACAAATGTTGTTTGTTTTTGTACATCTCATCTCAAAGATGCTTGTTTATGATTTACTTTGTATACTTTCCTTTTTTTGTTGTTCATATCTATTGGTTTTAAGAAGTTAGATGATTTTGCTATACTCATCATGTACGTATATTATTTGTTGATTAACTTATTCATGTGCTATTGACAACATTTACTCTCTGTTCTTCTCAATTAATAGGCAGAAAATCATTTCAATAGGATTTATTTATTTATTTTGTGTGTGTGTGTGTGTACATGTTTACACAACATGAAATCTACCATCATTTTTGTACCTATTTACTTTGTCTACTCATGAGTAGTAGTTAAAACATTCTGTGTTTTTTCTTCATCCTTAGATTGTCAAGGTTTGCTTATTTTGTCATAGTCTTATGTTGTTGTTATTTTGATTTTTATGCGCCAAATAGACATGATAACTTTCCATTTTGTAAATCTTCTCTGTATTCTATACAAATCATTGACTTGTCTCTGTTCATTTCTTTCACTTTGTTGTCATTGATGAAATTAGTATGATATCTCCTAAAATACTATTTGATCTCCTTATTTCCTTCATTGTCTAGCTTATCTCATCTAGTTGTTTGCTTTTCTTTTTCAGTTCTCTAAACGCTTCCATTCCTTTCTCTAGCATCTTATCACATTACTACTGCTAGAGTCATCTCACTACTAGTGTTCCTAAAGTAGCTTATACTCTCAGTAACATTTACAATTAATGATTTATTTGTATCTAAGGCTATTTTAGTCTTTGTTTATTGCATTTCAATCTAGTGAACTCTCTATATTTTCATACAATCCTTGTTGGCTGAGTTTTCTTCTCTCCTCATTTCCTCTGATTGTCAAAGAATATGGTTATTTGACTCTCATCATAGACATGACTTTTATAGCTTTTAATACCCTTACTTATTCGTGATTGTATGCATCATATTGTCTATGTGATAAGTACGAATTATGTCTACTGTTTCTTTTCCCCTAAAAATTACAATCAGATTGTCTTGTTTGAATGTTGGAATTCATCATAGATTGACATCAGTTTGTAGAATATTGGAAACCTGGGAGCACTGCACAGTCCAACGGTTTCGTTCTGGTACGGGACTCCTTAGCAGTGCGCATCCATTACCGCACCATGGATCGAACCCAAGACCTTCAGGTTCCGTGGCCAGCACGTTACGATTGAACTACTGAGTCGGAATCCAATAGTCCACATTTACTACTTCTATGAGTTCACGATATAGCGCCGCCTACATCCAATATCGTCGTTGAGGAACTGTCCTCATGTTCGACTTGGTTGACGACTTTATTGAGCCACCAATGCGTTCCTACGAGCAACCTGATAAGTTCATCAATGGTGAAATACATAGTTTACTTTAACGCATCAATCCAATTTGTCATATACCTTATGAATTAACTGAGATCTGAATGCACGCTGCTCTGAATAACTTGATCACTAATGATAAAAAGTGTCATCTTGGCGATATGAGTTTTCTAGCTGGATTTGCGAAACAGTTAAACACCAAACTTTGAAAAAGTTGTGTATAACCTGATTTAGGCACACGTTTCTTGCTTTTTATAGTCATGCTTCACTATTACTAACCAGATTTCTTGTTCAGGTATCTCAAGATGAGATAACTTTCCATGCTGTATGGGGAGCCGGAAATTATCAACGGCCCCTACGACACAGTCACCACTCAGATCATTACCAACCTTCCACATCTTTACCTTCTTTTCTTCCTTCATATCTTTAATTTTCGCCTGCTCCGATAACAATTGAAGTTCACGAAATAGCGACCCTGGCTATCTGAAACTGCATTCCAAACTACCCATTGGAGCTTTCAATGTCCTCATCCACCGTCAAATCGTTCAAGGAGCTTCACTTACCAATACTCAATGATCATCAGCCATAGATGTCTGCTGTGTTTGTGAGACACGCATACAGGAACCAAGTGCAGTTACTCACTTTACCTCAGCCGATCAATATGGTGAATCTGCAAAATCCATAATTTGAGTTACTGGAGATTCGATGACTAGTTCTCGTAGTATTTCAGGCGCAAGTATAATATTAAGTGCTAAGGTAGAAAGTGCAATGTTCGACTGGATCCCAGTTGCCCTTGCGCTGTTCGACTGAAAATAAAAAGGAATAGTTGTCTCTTTGTAATCTCTGCTTACGCACACACTAACTCCAGTTCAAACATGGTACTTGTTGCAAATACACAAGTGGGTAGGCTACGTTCTGCCAAAAGGTACTTAGGTGGTACTTTCGGAATCCCAGCCGAATGAACGGGTAGCGGCGATCGCCTACTGCAACTGTGTCCAAACAGCCATTTATTTCTAGTTAGCACGAAATCCAGACATGAAGATAGACATTGTCTGACGTGGTGTCCACTACCCTCAGTGGTGGACACAGACCATATTGCTACCAGTTATCCCTGGAGAGGGTCGCCGGAAGACTGCCTCTCCTCCTGGAACACGCGTTTGTACAGTGATCAAGTGTTGGTTGGAACGCGTATATATCTACCGCAAGATGGATATAGAAAAACTACAACTGCTAGACCGTTTTGAACCCAGTCTGAGTATGAGAATACTCAGACTGCTTTCAACAAAGAACTGGCTAGACAGTTATCAGAACAGTGTAGCGTAAACTCGACTTGAAAAAGCCTCCTACCATCAGTCTGCTGTAAAAACAGAGTTAATGACCGTAAGTGACTCTCAGAAAGAGGTTAGGAAGGGTGAGTGGATACCAACAGCTTCTTCTGAATTAGTGAATGCATATAGACACATTCCTGCAGGCTCCGAGTTCAATGAGGAGCGGAAGCAACTTAAATGTAGACTGATAAAAAGTCTAAGTAATAACTGCGAACAGTGGTGGGCAGTAAAGGCTAAATAGGTGGGAAAGTCATCGGTGATCGGTAACAGTGGACAGTTAGTTATTCAGGGTCATTAAGGAAACTAGGGCGGAAAGATCACTGGTTATTGAGACTACTGTGAAGAAGGATGGGTCTGTGATCAAGTCGCAGAGGAGACGACTAGAGTGATATGGCTGGAACACTTCAACCGATCTCTGGTTAGTCTTCGGCTGCCAGCTATCCAGTCAAATTCTGAATGGAACATTGAGATAGGGTCTTCAACTGTTGCAGAAGTTGAGAAGGGTGTAAGTAATCTGTGATGAAGAAAGACAGTCGAGTTTGTATCGGAGGTATTTAAGGACGGTGGTTAACGATGATTAGTGCGATTAAGTGAGGTGTCAGCTCGTGAGTGGGAACCCGATTTGATCCTCTCTGATTTGTCTCAATCACCGATTGTTCTATTTTTCAAGAAAGGAGACAAACAGAGTGTTTAAGATTCTAGATTCTATAATTGTTACGCGATAAGTGAGGTTTGTGAACAGCGAACCCAAAAAACCCAGGCAAGTTCTGGACGTGTTTGTGGATAAAGTAGCCAGATACTCACTCTCCGTCAGGTTCTGGAACACAGACACACGAAACCAGCTATACTTCCTGACCTGAAGGTGGGATCCGACTTCATCGACTGTGACGTTTCACAGCAGTATCTTTCACTAAAGGGAGTGCTGGGTAAGTTCACCACCCTGTTGAAGACTCTGTATTCGAAAACTTATGGTGAGGCAGGTGATATATGTATATAGAGCTGTGTTCGTCAAGGATGTCCACTCTCTTCATTCCCCTCTAATATTACCACCCACGTACTTCTAGACATCCCCATATCCTCTACTCGTCTGACTCTAATGGGGTTGACCTTGTCATAGGGAACCCCCTCAGTAGGTCTATGATACACAGACGACAAAGTCCGGTTAGATGGACCTGCAGGGTGTTTTACATACCTTACGTACCAGTTTGAGTATGTCTTAGGATGCGTTTCTCACCACCAAAATACAAATTGTTGTTCGAGGATCGGTCTAAGTCATTGTTTCACCTAACAGAAGGGAGTGAAGTGGTTGAATGAGTTGGGCATTTCACTTACCTAGGAAGTTGGATTAGGCCTGATGTGTGAGTGACCAATGAAATGCTTCGCGCATACAAAAGACTGGATTGGCCGTCGCCAACTTACGGCTCCACCATGATATCCTATTGCCTACTGAGAGCCGAGTGTACTCAGCTTCAGTTCTTTCTGTTTTACTGTATTGCTGGGAAACGTGGCCACTGAAGGTAGAGTACATGAAGAGGCTTCAGCCGTTTGACCACCGTTACCTTTATAGCAGAGGCTGTTTCATGGTGGCACGACGTCAGTAATGTAGAAGTCAGATGTAGAGTTTGAAGTTGAAAAATAATGAGAGTTGATGAGATTGTGGACGTTGATCGACTGAGATGGACAACTTTAAGATGCGTTACGCATCCCTGGTCACCATCACCCAATGTTAGCTGAAGTAGTTTAAGGCTGGAAAATGGTAAGAGGTGGTTCATCTAGAATATGGTATCAGTCCATGAAGTCTTTGACTGTTGGTCTTAGTCCTGTAAACGAATGTAGGTATTCAGCTTGTGGCCTACGTGACAGCCGAAACCGGTGGTTGGCGACTAGGGGATATTTCTCACAATCGATTTCTGTGCTGCATACCTGTTAACACATCGTCATTTCAGTCGTCATACTGCATTTCATTATTGTTTTCTTCTTGCTTTATGTCTTTTGCAGCTTTTGACTATTCTCTTCCTTGTTTCTCCATTTCATATGTTGCTTCATTGTATGTTGACCTAAGGTCTTGGAACTTATATTGTTACTCAGAAATATCTGCTACGGAGCGACTTTTCACGAATGCCGGTTGATGTTTAGGCTAGTGAATTGCTGTGGTTGAGAATTGAGCAACTGTGTAAATCTGGTCTTACAGACAAACAACTATCTACATCTTATAGCAGCCCCCTATTGAACTTGAGAATTACCTACGCTGTGCTACTGTCGTATACGAGAAACGTAATAGGGACTGGGAATAGAATAAAGTGGGTGATCAAACATCCTGGGATTGTATAAGTTAAGTCACACCGCCATTGTATATATATATATATATATATATATATATATATATATATATATATATATATATATATATATATGCTCTCACCAAGGTGCTAAACTTACCGATTTCACATTCTTACTATCGTCGTGAAAGTTGTCAAATGACATTTTGCAACACAAAGACTGATTTCATCTTTCATGGACTTTGTAGCGCTCGTCTAGATTCACAGAATTTTGAATAGTTCTAAAGCTTTACTGCCTAATCTGAATGGATGTCTAGGTTTTTCTAATTTTAAAAAGTAATTTTCGTTCCAATTGTGTAAAGTCTTCATTAATTTTCACTGTTTGAAACTGGAATTAGATAAGAGTATAAAACTCAGTTTTGATTATGAAGATGATTATGTTGAGGAGTGTGAAGGAATAACAAAGTCTCATCTTAACTTTACTAGTGTTTTTCGAACAGTGTAGATAGTTTAGATGTTATCTTTCTGCTTGAGTATTTGTAGATAAGGGTAAATGAAGGGAATTAAGCTTTTTCGGTAAAGGTCTACAGTTTATCTTAAGAGAGAGGCCTTTGTAATACACTATGGTACTTTTTCTTGGTTTTTCTTCCAACCATTGAAGCGATAGGATGAAATGTTTTTAATAATGCATGAGAGTATACAATACGATTAGCGGAAATAAGTGATTGTTTAGACCAATGTAGAAGGGAGAAATTTTATACAGTGTATTCTATGAGAAAGTTAGATAGCACAATGCTCAAGTAGGCTGCCTTACTTTCCCTCCTGTTACGCACTTTTGTCTAATTTTATATGTCATTCTTTCTCAACCCTCTTACTTTTTGTGTGCTGTTGGGAAGTATGACAACTTGAAGTGATGCATCTCTATGCCATTTTATACTTTCTGCGTGTGACTGCATATAACAAAGTTATTGTCAACCGACACGACATAAATTTTCTCATTCATTTAATGAATGTTTCGAAGAGAATAGTCCCTTTAATGCTAATCTATAACTATCCCATCTATCGTTAAATGAAATAAAGTCGTAAACTTAAACTGAACGTTTTTGCTGCATTACCTCAGTCATAGTTTGCACTGTGTAAAGATGCACATTTCGAAAAGTGGTTAGTGATAACCTTAGTTTCTTCGAGTGAGATTTTGTCGAAGCTTTATCGCAGAGGCCCATCAGTTTATAGGTAATGTTTAATCATCCTATGATTCATAAAAACCTCAATTTCTTTTAGTTTCTAGATTG